AGACACACGCTTTCAATAACAGCTTCCTACAAACATTGGCGATACACGAGATGTTGCTGACATGCGAGCAGGGAAGTAGGATGACATTCACAGCTCTACTTAAGCATAGCATGTCAAGGCCACAACAACATATCGGACAGGTAATGAGGGGGTGGGGGGGATGAGTGCAAGACAAATGGGTTGCAATTTTCACAGTTGGGGCTGACAGTGACCATCTCTTCATAGTGTTCGGAGCAGAGATTATGCGTTGTGCATGATAACAGAACTGCATCCTCTGGAGCGGGCCCTTCAAGTTCACACTGTGTGGTACAATCTGTCCAATCTACACAAGGAGGGGACGCTGTCTGGCCATGTACAGGGGAGGGGGAAGGTTCGGGCAGACTGTTCTCTGGAGGTTGTAGAGTTTGCGAGTGCACATCTACATAGTCAAGTTGTTCCTGATTGACCAACCAGACTGAGAAGGATCCTGCCAGTGCTGCCACTTGGTGATAGAAAGAGATATTTTCTTATACACCCTACTCCCGTTGTCCCATAGGGTCCATTAAATTATCCGCAAAGGTAGCAGCAAATGACCTGACGATGTAGAATGTACGCTCAAATAATCGGGTCCATGTCTAGCATGTAAATTTGTGGGGCACGCTTGCATTGCGGTCGTCTTCCCATAGATGCCATAGACAAGATTTCTATGTTCACGCCTGACGCAGTCCTATCACCCTCTTGGCAGACTACATGGTACTCTTCTTCTATCAAGTGGAGAATGTCTGCAAAATCAAACACAGTATAAGGGTTGCAATTTGTAAGTGAGCAGACATATATTAAGTTATTAACAGCACAGCAGGCACAATGGGTTGACAAAGGTGGTTGATGAACTGTGTTTCGTCCCAATAGAGCATGAGATTGGCAATTTCTGGTCCGACAGTAGTGTCTGTAGACTGTAGGGATACCGACCACCTGATGGCCCATCCATGCTATAAAGACAAGTGTTAGAGACCACAAACTACAGATGTTGCTCTATTCCCAATGTTGAAAGGGTGTCCGAGGAACGTGAAGTAGCACACTCCCTCCAATGGGGACCTCCTACAGTCCATGTACATTTGTACTGGCCTTCTACCCTGTGGAATCAGCACCAAAGCATGATCATGTCATTCATGAATCGCATTTAGGACATCCTTAATAGTCCTGTTGTGTAGCAGGTAGTGTACATTGTCGTGCAACCTGCTGTGTGTGGCGTAGAGCCTTGAAGGGAGTGTGCATTCTGCTTGAGATCCAAATTGACTTCCTCGGCCCTTGGCACAATCCAGCAATGATGCAAACCGCTTCCCCCCCCCCCCCCCCCCCCCCAAAGCACGCACTTTCTTGATAAAGCTCATTGTCCTTACTGCGCAGAGATCTGATCACACCTTGGAGAGCATAGCTGAATGAGCAAGAGGCCACTCTTGTACTTGCTAGAGGGTTATGAGGGGGCATGTTATGCCGATTGAGAAAGGTTGTTTCGAGGGGCGACTCCAAGGATAGGACAAAGAGTGGGTGAAGCTTTGTGTGCTTTGAGTGCGGGGTAGAGATACGGCAGGGTGTCAGTCTGCTGATAGCCATACTTGTTGATTGAAAAGTGCATGCCGATCGAGGATGCTTGCCACTGATCTCGATGTTTGAGTGTATGCAGGACCATCAAGGCATTGTGATAACTTGTATGCGTATCAGTGTTCACAGCAGACTGTGAGGTTGTGCGAGGCTTTATCAACTGGTATTATGGTGAATTGCTGCTGTAGCTGCCGAAGAGATGTGTTGGCAGCGTGCGAGGCAGCCTAAGTAGGTGCCTAGTACGCTGACCTTGAGAAATCCGGTTGGCATGTTGAAAGAATTGCTCCACGCCATCCGCACAGCCGAGACAGACTGTTAGCAATTAGAGATTGTTTGTTGTGTGCTGGCCTCATAGAACCTCGGCAATATACTTGTCCAGTCCGAGTTTCAGTGCTTTCATCGCATCCAAGTGCAATTTTTATAACGAAAGTGTGTGGTCAAGTGGGACGCACCCACACATACTTCTGCTGAATACACTTGCGCAGAACTGAAAAACTTGAATGCAGAAGCAGGATTTGACTTATCGACCGGCGCCGTGGCTCACTGTCCACGTATACGCCCGCCGCCTGCTTGAGACGTGGACAGTAACGTATGGCCCGGAATGGGACCGGCTTCACGTATCAAGTCCGTTATCCTAACCTTACCTTCTGCTTCATCGAAGCCGTACTTCGACTTTCGCGTGCTGCTTTAAGGCATGACAGGGCGTACATGCAGTAGGCCTTTTTCTAGTGAGTTGTGGACACAGTTGCCATTAGATGCATCAGCTCGGGCCATAATTGCAGTCAGATATGTCCATGAAAGTCCCAGTGCAAGTACATCATCAGACATTCACAAGCAATAAAAATGGCCAGCATTCACAAGCATGAAAGGGCCTCTGTTTCTTATCCGCCAATAAAGCACCCTGTCTCGACACAGTTGGCACGGGCCAAGAGTGCCGACATGCAAAATATAAATATAGGGGTAACTTTGGTAGAGTCACAAAAACGGGTTATAATTGCACTATGGGGCAAGATACAGTTTCCAATTGCACTTCGGGCACCCTACCTGGCCAGAAAGCTGGGTTGCATACATTGTCCGAACTGCAATTCAAAGCTGTATCTTGGCCCATGGTGCAATTATAACTCATTTTTGTGACTCTGAAACGGTTTTCACCTGTCAGCAGTAGCGAGCGCAGATCCCAGGGCTCGATCCCTAGTTCCCACCTTACCTGTGTACAGTATCTGTGTTGACCCCGAGTGTTTGAACTCGTGACCTGTGTTTTGACAGTTGTTGTTGTCTGTTCGTAGGTCGGTGTGTTGTCGTCTGTCGTAGGTCGGTGTAGGGGTAGGGGTTCGATCTGTAGACCTGTCGGATAGGAGTCCTAGTGAGTTCTAGAAGTCGTAGCTGTAGCCTGTCCGAAGGGTCAAGGTCGTAGCTGCTACAGTCCTGAAAGGTCAAGGTCGTAGCTGCTACAGTACCGAAAGGCCAAGTCTACAGACTTCCGGAAGTGGCCTTTTGGAGTAGGCTCACGTTAGGCAGAGGCAAGTGGGCAAGCGGTGGAGCCAACCTCAGTGTGTTGGCAGTGCAACTGCAGTGAGGTTGCGGTCCAACCCCATGCAGTCAGCGGTACGGTCCAGTCAGTCCCAGTCCAGTCCAGCAAGTACCATACGGGACTGTGTGCACAATGGGCCGATGGAAAAGGGCCAGACCAGCGAGCTACAGAGGTATAAATCAGGAGGCAGCGTCCAGCCATTCATTCATTCCTGCATAAGCCATGCGGAAGCGCTGCCATAGCGACTTGTGCGAGGTGGTCTGCAGTGAACCCAAGGACGAAGAGGGCAAGAAGGAGTCAGCCATAGCGATAGGGTAGAAGCGGCCATAGCCGCCATAGCTGTAGGTGTGTGTGAGTGTGTGCGCAAGTGTACAGGGTGTTGCGTGTGGGGTATCCAGGGTGATCCTGTATGCGAACAGCAGTGTCGAGGGAGTGACGAACAGAGAGTTGTTCAGGCGATGTGCCGCCATAGCCATGTGAAGTGAACTTGTATCTGAGTGTGTTCTGGGTACTATATCTCTGAGTTCTGAGTGGGCGCCTGGCGGCAGTTTGCTGGGCAACCTGTTTGCATTCGTGTGAAGTGTGAATGAATGCCAGTCTGATTGCAGACTCCCGCGTAGTTTCTCTACAAATAGAATATCGAGAGCGCTTGCAAGAGCGCCGATGTGCAAAATATAAATATAGTATCAAGGCCACTTTGTGGCAGCTTGCAAGAAGCAAAATTAAAACAAACAGAGAGAAATCTGCATGAGAAAATGGAATTAATGCTAGGTTACCTAATTTACCTGATCAACATCCGGGACCTCCCTGACCGTCTGGGGTTGTCCGATCAGACAACTGGTCGGACATCCTCCCCGGGCAGGGCAAAAAAAACTCAAAAAAAACTACGTTATGCAGAAAAAGAAACTGAACAACCTTTGCCTTGGAATGACATCGAAATCGTTGTCAAATTTCAAACAAAAAATAAAATTAAAGACACCCCCAATGTTTTTGTTTTTTTTTTGTGCTTGTCCAAGCCCGGACGTCCAGGACCAATCGTTGTCAAATTTCAAACAAAAAATAAAATTAAAGACACCCCCAATGTTTTT